AGTCTGCAGTAAGAATGAAAATATATTTTCTGCAAACAAGCACTGCTTTCTTTATCAGCATGTGTATATTTTTCATGCTCTCACATCATTTTCATGCACTCAGATCAAACTCAAGCTAACTATCAGCTACCCTCAGAGTAATCGTTGCAAATTTAATGATACAATTTTTTTTATTTTTTTTTATTTTTTCATTCACAAGAACCATGTTGCAAGTAGCTATAGCTAAAGCTAATACATAGGGCTGGTTAGAAATATTGATTCATCAAAGCATTGCAATTATCATTTTCCCAATTCAATATCGATTCAGGGAAATTAATCGTCAGATTGTGGGCAATACCCACCTCTACTAATACAGATTATTTAATATTAAAATATTAACACCCTTCATATCACTATTACAATACAAAAAAAAAAATGGTACTGCACCTCACATGTTTTCTTATGTAGTGCCAGCCTAACACAAAAATACTTACAGTTCAAAACAATTAATTATTTTAAGATTCAAAAATTAATTTCCAGTATTTAAACCTATAGAAACTACAGCCAGACCGATTTTTGGAGCCAATGCAAATATTGGAAAGAAAAAAAATCGAAAACCGAAATTACAACAGATATCTTTCTTGGATCTATGTTCAATCTGTAGAGATAGATATAAAGTTATAAACGATTAGTGTGTTGATCCCTCAAATGCAGGTATCAAACACTTGTGGAAATAATATAGAGTATAAGGTCAAGATAGTCACTGAACTGCACATGTACATGCATCACCGCTTGACACTCTGGGGATTGATAATGCTTGTTGTACCGTAAAATCCAGAATACAAGACGCACCCTGAAGTCCCGTCTGTTTTCACTTCTGGGAGTTTGCACTCCTACTACAGGATGGTAGTTGAGCTCTCAGCCTGCAGGGAAAGTTGTGAGGCACAGACTCCTAGCTTGCAAGTCGCGCTGCCCGACTCCATTGGTCACTCTTTAACTTTAATATAGGACTCTTTAAATCAAAAGAGCACTCCACAAGGTTTATTTACAGAACAATTTACCACTGTTTTCTGTAAATGCATGATTATGACCTCGTGAGGAAGAAGGATGTGAAAAAAGTTGCCATCTTTCCCATCCCAGTGTTCACTCAGCTTTCAATACACAATGAATGGGGATGGGTTTTTAATCACTGCTGCTGCACCCGCTGTAATGACGGCGTGTGTTTTAGTATTTTATACTGGTGTATTGGTCACACCGGTGTATAAGACACAGCCAACTTTTAACACGAAAAAATAGGTCTTAAAAGTTCGTCTTATACACCGGATTTTACGGTAATCCATATAGCACACTCTGCCGGTGACAGCCAGAAAGAGCACTGCTAGTGTAATTCAAATAAACTATGAACTAAAATGAAGCACTTTTTAACTGGTCAATAAATCTAGTAATATCGTTGCATCTGCCTTAAAATTAGCCGATACAGACAGTCACTGGATATGCTAACATATCGGTTATATCGGTTGGCCAATTAATCTGCTCTAATAGAAACTCACTGCATTTATCTGGAAGAACTTCCTGTATTTTATCTTATTACATTGCATATCGTAGAAAGAAAAGATATCGCAATGTTACTTTTTTCCCCAATAACGTTCAGCACTTCATCACTTTGTAGTTTATGGCAAACATATTTTTTTCCTAAACTGTATGTCAGCTAGTTACTATCCAAGAATATTCTATTTTTATATTTGCTGCAAGATTAAATTGAGAGTTTTACCATTTTTCCTCCCTTGTTTCTTTCCATGACTACTCTCCCTCACCAATGGCAGCAATGGAGCAAATGGCCTGAGAAACCAGAGAAGTGTTGAAATAAGAAGAAAGTGAATGTTTACTTTAGTTTATGTAGAAGAGTGACTCTGGAAAGATGTAGAAAAAGCACATCTGTATCTCAATGTCTACTCTCCTTCAGTAGAGTGAGTAAAGGCGCCTATCTTTGATAACACAGTATCTCTCTGTTCACTTCCTCGTTAGGAGGAGGAGGAAGAGGAGCTGGAGGAATAAAAAGATAAGAGGGTAAAAACAGTAGAACCATTCATTCATTCATGTTTCTTAGGGAATATGGTGCTTTGTACAGATACGAACAGTGTGTGTGTGAGAGTATGTTTAGTTAGAGCGAGCCAAAAGCGCTTCAAAATCAACCAAAAAAAAAAATCAAAGAATAGATAAAGGAATTGAATATTTCCAAAAACCCAAGCCTGTTTGATATATGTAGATACAAATAAAGGATAAAGTGTGCCATGCGTGTGGTCTGGTCCCGTCATCCTGTTTAGGAAGGGGCGAGAGACCCCTGTTTCCTTTGGCTCTGAACTCTCTGTTGTGACTACATTACAGCGCCTTCATCACCACCACCTACCCCACTCCATATGTCTTCCATAGTAAACCCTCTCAGCATGCCCAACACTAGTCCAAATTAACAAGGTAAAAAACAGGGGCTTTCAATAGTCACCTATGATCAAGCTCCTAAAGGTTTTAGAAACACTTCAAGACTTATTGCAGTTGTCAGGTAAAGTATATATGGTAAGTATAGTTATTTTGAAAAGATAGGAAATAAACCAGTCTGTGCTGCAGCTCCTCAGTGTTTAATGGTGGCCGCTGCTTTCCTATGCTCTTTTTGCCCTCAGCATCAGTCATGTGACTGAACGCTATGTAATATATCTCAAGATATCACAATGAAATGTCCATGTATTTCGTACAGCTTTCAAACAGCACCAACTGAGCGACTGATGTTAACATGAGATGACTTGATCACCGATTGTCACTTTGGGGTCATCTTTAAAATACAGACAATGAGCCACAGAGGACAAGTTAGCTGCAACAGCACAAATATGATCACTTCCGGGTCACAGTTTAAGGATAAATTACGTGGGGGAATGATCCATGACTATTTGGTTTAACAGATACATCTCCGCAGTGTTAGCAGCATAACCTAATGGGTTTGAGCTAAGGATGGTCTTGATATCCAGGAGCACTGTGTTTATGTCATCATAAATCTCCACATCTACAAAGAACGTGAATATATTACCAAAACTGTTGTAACTTTTTTTTCCATTAGAAAGGCTAACATCTTTGACTTAGATGTTCATTGTCAAACTACTAGGGCATACACAGGCAGCAAGAGAAAGAGAGGAAACCTGGAGTAAATTTGTTCATGTTTACCCAAAATAAACAGAGCACTACACCGCCATCCAAGCATCGCCGTGACAAATACTCCAGCCGCTTATCGAATTAAACCCCATTATAAGCATAAACACACAGGCTCACACACTCTTACAAACAACCCATTACCAGCAAAAACATGTCATGTGTTCTTCAAACAATCCAGCACAGCAAACTAGATACGTCTACAAACGAGGGAAAAAACTGGTCTGTGTGTTACTAATAACGAGTATTTTCTCCTGACATCTGCAGACAGCACGATTGACGTTGCCCATCCGGAAGCATTTACGGATTTTACAGACACGGCACCCAGCCAGGAGCCCACGATCTTATTCGTTTACGTGGACACTTGTTAACATGTAGGATTTTCTTTGCAGCCACCATAAAGCACAGTTAGCAAGGAACATAATCCCGAGAAACCTTGCTTTGTCTTGCAGCTGCTAGAGGGATTTACTTCATAATAAAGTAATGTAAACCCCAAAAGAAAGACATCGCTGTAAAAAGGACGATTTCATCTGCCTTCCTTCCTCTCCCTGTGCGGCCCCCAGGGCACGCCTGGCTGGTAGTGAAAAGTGAGAGATTGAGGGTAACAGAGAGTAAATGGAACACTTCATGTGCACTCTATCAGAATAAAACACTCATCACATGATTTTCAGGTAGACTGGGAGGTGTTTGGATGGACATGTCAAGGTGTGTTTATTGGCCGTGTCCTCAGACCGGATGAGGAGGGGTTTAAAAAAATTCAGGAATTAGCAGAAGACTCCAGGAGGAGGAATCTGAGTTTACAGGAGGACATACAGTCGCTGAAATAAAAGAACTGGGGGCAAAAATAATACAACAGCGGATCCTAAAAAATAATATATATGTTCCCTCAACCCATTTCACATAACCTGCATGCCTCTCTGATACGAAGTATTTTATACCGACATTAGGAATATCCATTTTCTACACCTCCTCTAACTTAATTCAAGGTCTTTGTTAATTTATCAACAGATTATCAAATATTTTCTTATGCATCATCAGAAGTAAAAGTTATTTTGAAGGCTCAAAGATTAGAGGCAACTGTTCAAATGAACTGCTTCACTGTTTTTTTTTTTAAATATAGCATTTTTCTTGAGGTTTTAGTAGTATCCTGTAACAAGATGGAGAGCCGTTTTACTGCTGGTGAAATACAACCCAGCTTTTGGATTACATTCAGTGTTTTAAGTGAAATTACATGACTAAATATTTCTTACAAAGTCTGGACATTTTCCGCACTTGCCTTTTAAAAGGCCACCAATCACACTATTTAAGTATGCATTGCTCACTTGTAAAGAGGGGAATCAAGATTTTATTGTCAATGTTTGCAATGTTAGAGATGCAGCCCGTTACTCTTAAATGTTTGCCCTAAAATAAATCCAAACAACAACAAACAAAAAAAAAACCTTTTCTCCAGCCTCTCTTCCTTCTTCTCCTTCCTCCTCTCCCTCTCTGGAATTCTACTCTCTCTATTCTAATAAATCTGAAGGGGCCTTTTCCACTTTTACAGGAACACCAACTCATTAAATGGTTGATTTCAGATGGCAGAGTGTGAATGTTTTGAGTTAACTTTATTGATCTTTGAGCGAGTCTGCAGGCCGGAGAGAAACTGACGTCCCCTCCGGCACATGGGCAGTAGATTTACACCTCGGCCATCTGGGTTTAGAGGTGTCTTTAAATGGCGACCAGCCCGCTCTATCCTGTGCTGCTCTGGCAGAGAGTATGGTCCCTCTAGCTCACATATTCACAAATACAGCAAAAAGGCATCTAGAAATGATATTTTCTTCACTTACCTGCTTGAGTACAACTCTTTCCCCCAAGGACTGTAGAGATGCATATCTGTTCCAGTCTGGTTTACTTCAGCCTGCTTGGAGCTTCAACTCTGGCCGCCTGTGGCACAAAAAGAGGTTGTGAGGCAGTCATACAGAAAAAGTTAAAGTAAATAAATGAGACAATATTTTAATGATTGCTTAAGAGGCGTCTCTCTTTTAACAGGAATATTTATTAATAAAGACTGACAAGTTGCAGAGTCCAAGGTGGTTGGAAGATGGAGGATGTTGATGGACACCTCGGGCCAAATTGTAGTTCATGAACACTAGTAATGACATGCAACCTCACTCAGTCCTCCAAGAATCAATCCAAAAGATTTTACTTCTTTATGACATGTTTTTGAAATATTGCAGTGCCCTCTGTGAGATCTTTAAGCAAGAACTAAATATGAGAACTCAGGGGAATATGAAGGGCCTGAAAGACGTAACAACTTAATTAAGGAGTGTTGGTTCTTTCAGATCCTGCAAGTCGTATTCGCCCTCCCTTTGCCATATCAGCCAGGGAGAGCTGCTTGGTCTGTCTCCGACTTATGACATCACTCCACAAGCATTAGCCATTTCTCATAAACCTCCAGGGTCCCCAGGGTTTCCAACGCATGAGATCAGGGAGTAGGCAAGCAGATTATCAGCAGCAAGACCACGTTATATCAAGAGTATGCTACATTTTATCTTGTCCATTTGTGTTACAGCTAACAGCTCCCTGTAACAGCCAAACATGTAGGACACACTTATTTTGCAACTGTTTAGTGTTCATTTATTCATTCCAACCTCATCTCTGTGTATTCTGTTAATCTGTTTAGATTCTGTCTTCCGTCTTTCTCTGCATTAGTCTCTCTTTTCCCCCTCAGGGCTCAAAGCTGTGAGGCTGTAAGGTCCCTTGCTTCCCACAACTGCTCTCAATCGCCCTTGTGACTGCTTAGCTGTCAATCACTTTAACATCAGACCCACACTGAGCAGATCAAGCCTTCTGGCATGCACATACACATTCTCTCTTTCCCCAACATGCACACAAAAAAACAGGGTTTGTAGGAGGAGTGGAGAGATAAAGGGGGTCCTGTCAGCACCTGCTGAGCCTCACCAGAGAAACTGGGGAGACACAGATACACCCACACACACATACACACCGCAGGGCTCTGGTTGTAAAGGTACCACTTTAATTTTGGTCGTATTTACTCAGCCTCCTCCCAAGTTGCCTCCAGCCATGCCGTCCTACAGCGTCAGTGTTAGCCACTCTGCCCTTTAACCAGAAAAGACACAGGGCAGCTAAGAACCACAATGAAAACGTAAAAATTCGAAAACACAACAAGAACATGCATGTTCAAAAAATAACGGGAAGGTCACACACACATGTGCAGACAAACTAACATGTCAACACACACCTTAAGTAAGGTATTTGCTATAAGCAAGGGAATCTTACAGAAATATACAGACTCAGTGCACAAGGTCTCGTCTTTTGAGCGCAAAACCTCTCAATTAATTTCATCTGTTTCTGCCCGAAACCACATTCCCACACACGCACACAGACACGACGCATGCACACAAACATACACACAGAGTCCATTAGGCTCATGTGTAGCGCCCAAACCACGACCCAGAGTGCTCTTTCATGGCTCCGTCATTACATCAATAAGTCTTCACATTAATCTCGGCCCGGCAGAGCACACAGGCTATTACCAGAGCAGCCCTGCACCACAGAGGCTCGCTCCGCAGCAGACATGTGCAGAATACAAGTCAAATATACTCTGGATACTTGATAAACCCACAAGACCTGCTTGGTTTGTCTCATTTTGTGAGGGATGTGTCCAGTTTTGAGGCTGGTTAAACGGCAGAAGATAAATTACCTCAAGTAGTTTGAATGCATGAAACCATATCTAGATATATTTGTCCACGTGTGCTCTAAAAAGCCCTAAAATACTACTTTAAGAGTTTTTTCCCCCACATTTCCTGCTGATTTAATACAGAGGCCAAATTTATTTGAGGAGCTGGTTTCAATCGTCACTAACGAGAATCTTTTGCCAAAGCCTTTTTAAGTTTGTGTAACATAAGATCATGCCCTTTTAATGAAGCTCTTGAGAACATTGTGACAAAAAAAAAGTTAAATTTCAGAGATTAGCTATAATAAAATCAGCATTTTTATTTTGGAGTCAATCGCGCCCGTGAGAAAAAGTCCACATGTTAATAATTACTAAGATTAGCTAATGCTCTTAAATTGAGCCTGCCATCACAAATGCAGCATCAATCAAATTCAAAACAAGCAACAAAAAAAACATTTATGTGCAACTAATGAATTCCAAGCCTGATAGAGAGAAAGTGACAGAGAAAGGGAGCAAAGGCAAAAACATGGAAGAAAGAAAAGAGTGTAAGTGCGAGGAGGGGTGTTTACCTCTCCTCTGTCTGGACAGGAAATAGGGTTCTTTAACCTTTGACTCAGGTCCACTATGTGGCTGTGTGTTTATACTTCTGCATTTGCCCCAGAACAGGTTCTTTCAGACATGGTTTGATGGACAGATGGTCCTCGTTGTCATGGCAGCCAGTGCAGGTGCGTATGCAAAGAGTTTTCCTGCCCTAAGGTGCACAGGGGTGGAAGGGTGGGGTGTTTATCATCACCAGTGCCAACGGGCAGAACAGCACCTCCGCTCCCAGGAGGTTAGAGGAATGACGGGGGAGGGAGAAGGGGGAGAATAAGGGAAGGTAGGATGAATTGAGAAAAGGAAGGAAGGAAGGAGAGAGAGAGTGGTAAGCTGTAAAAGTCTAGAGGTTTGTCCACATTTATCACCCTGGATTTGTTCTTGGATGAAAAAAGCTGTGAAGTAAGTTTTTCACTCGTCTCATTCTCTGCCATAATACGAGAATAAAAGAATATTGCCTCAGAAAACTTGGCTGTTCCAGGAAAGGCCGCTTCAGCTCGGATGACCTCAGATATTGTTCCATTGTATTCTTTTATTCTCCTTTCAACATTTCGGACCGCAAATGTGAGGCAGGGGGAGGAAAGGAGGATTGCAATGTGGAGGGAGTTGAGCGGTACAGGGCCAAGGGGTCACTGCTGGAGATTCTCCCCTGAAGGCAAGTCCACAGCAAAAGGGGTAATAATAAACGTTTGGCGTTTTGAGTTTCTGAACCCCACCTCTCCACCCCTCTGTCACGACATTACCAGCTAGAGCTCCTGTATCGAAACAAAGACTTACGCACATTTAAGCCACTATAAAAAAAAAAAGTACACTTACTGTAAGATAAAATAATATTAAACACTGAACTGACATAGCTTTGAACCTTGCTTTGTAGTATTTCACATTTTTTGTTTTACCATACATTAGATAACTCTGAATTAATGTCAGGTTTCATGGGTCAACTGACTCAGCTTTGCTGTTAGTTTCTTTTGAATGTCTCATTCAAAGAGCCAGCATTGTTTTTTGAAAATTTAATCCAAAAATACTTGTGGGAAATGTCGTATTTCCTTTCATGTGACACTAGGCTGAATTAAGTAGAATCTGGAGTATTTTATATAACTATATAATTATATATATTATTATAATAAAGTATAATTTATAACTTTGAACCAAACATTTGCAAATTAGCAAATTACTGAAAACGAATTTGAGGTCAACATATTTTGTAGAACAATGAATATAACTAAGCAGTCAGACTTTAAAAGTCATATTGTGAATGAAAATTCCACACAAACAAAAGTGAAATTAGACCAAATCGAGTGAACCACAAATTTCAAAAGACGACAATTAAAAACCCTGAAAAACAAACTGAAATAGAGATATGCCAAAGAACACACACGCGTCTTGGCATCGTGGAAATATTTCTATACCAGGCGTCTAATCCCAGGCCTCGCTGTCTGGCCTGTTTGTTTTTCTGTTTACTCTGGAATGTCAGACATCCGAGGACACAGCGGAGAGGAAGGTCAAAACCGCAGAGCTGCAAAGACTCAACAAACATTATTAAATTCTAATTTGTTATTTAAGGTTTGTGGAAACTAGTGCAGAGAAACCATTAACGAATTCACTGGTTATTTATGTGTCCATGCACTTTCAATCTAAAGTACACACCACTACTACGCACAGTCACAGAAAGAGAGGTTGACATTTAGCAAGTCGGATCTCAAGCACACAGTTTTAGTAAGTCAGAAATGGGGTGATAAAGTGCAATTAAATGACAAGATTTTATGAACACAATTAATGACTGAACGGAAACCTTTTAAACAAAAGAAGATGATTGAACAGAGATTAACTGTCTCTTATGTGTTTGATTACATACTTTAAAATAAAAATATTTCTGACTCAAGCCGCCCAGTGATCTCTACAAAAGACCATAAAAGAAATGGTCTGAAGAAATCCTGCTCTGGCTACACAATTAAAAAGATATTTGATGAGGGGACACCGAGATCTCATAAAAATCACACTTTCCCATTACTTTGTCAGAAAAGCACAGTGTGATCTGTTGTTTGAAGAGAGGAGGAAAGAGGGGACAAACAAGGACAGGGTGCTGAAAGGGTTGTTAAGCCAGTGATAGATCTTTGGCTCTACAAAAAGACACAATTCTTGTAGAAACGACAAACTTTGTACAGGGGAATATCCCTGCAGCCTCCATGAGGGGAACATGTGTTGCAGTGTGTGCAATTGAGTGGGTTTGAGTGTGAGTGTGTTTATCTTTGTGTGTGTGTGTGTGTAGGCTGTGCACTCATTAGTGGAAAGCCTCAGTACAGACTAGCTCCAGTTACAGTAGTAAACGCTGCCTTTGAACTTTTAATAGAGCCCTGAAACTCAACCAGGCCTTAAAAAGCACAGATCTGCAGGAAAAGGGGAAAAAAGGAAAGAAAAGAGGTGGAAATAAATGACACTAGATGTATATACATGCACATGTGGAAAGAGTGAGACAAAGAGCTGCATTAAAAACTAGATCATTTACAAAAGCACTGCTACTGTTACACTCTGTAGTCACAAAATGTATAGTATGTCAACAAAGAGACCGTTAATATCAATGAAGTACAACATATATAAAACACACACCTGTTGCACTCTCTTTCAGTGGGCACAAAAACATGCCAGATCATTATTGGCATATCTCTAAATACTCTTTGGCACACATACAGTCATCATTATCTTCATTAAGGACACAGCATAGCATAAGCACCTGTGAGTGTGGTGTGTGTGTGCCAGGGCCACACTAATTAAAACATGCAAACCTGTGTGGTTGTGTTTAGGTGGGTGGGTGTCTGGGTGGGTGTCTGTGTTGCAGAATCCTCAGGCATGTGTTGCAATAAACAGATGTTGAGTCTTTATGAGGTCTTTACAACAGGTTCAGCGGTGCCCCAAGTGTGTGAGTGTGTGTGTGTGTGTGTGTGTGTGTGTGTGTGTGTGTCAGTCTAAACATACATAGGCTTAACATGGAAACCTCTCATCAGTGAACCATAAAAAGGGACACAAATGGAAATGAACAGGAAAGGGGCGGAATTCTTCCTGAATGTTGACAGAATTTGAATTTAATATTAAGGGGAAATGTTTACACCAATCATAAGAGCCATTTTAATGTCGCTTCAAGTCATTAGCGCCTATTCATAATTACTTTTTTTGCAGAAAACATGTTACTTGTGACAACAACAGTTTCTTTGTTCAATTTTACTGTTTTTGGAAGTCATGTCAGTGAGCCATACATTACCATAGAACTATTAACCAAAAACACAAATCATTGTTATTTATGAAATTAATTCCACCTGTGTTAGGTCAAATAACTGCTGACAAAAAGGTCTCTTCAGTGATGGGAATGAGAGTGGCAGTGGACAGACTGTTTATTTGACTATGAGCTGTTTACAGAGACAGACGCTGCAGAGCTGAGCGACAGCATGAGAAAATACCTCTGATAACAGACTAACAGGCAGAGAAGTAAGCGGCAAACTCTCGTCCTTTGTCTCACAAGTGATTTCAATAATGGTCTTTTCTTTAATATCGCTTCAAAATATGTCTAACCTTTCTAGATTTTGCAGTTATTTTGCACATTTTGCAACAGGACATCATGTTTTCATGCTACGCAGGATACATGCTATGTTATCTAAGCTGATATAATTATCAAACTTTCTGCTCCTTTTTAACAATAGCTTGAACATGGTATGTGATGTCTTTACAAGATCAAATATTTTTTGAGGTTTGACAGATAACCCATGAAAAAATTGATCAAGAGTTTAGAGAACTGCTCACTAAAACTGTGCTATCTTTTGCATGCGAAAGCAAGCTGGCTGAAAAGTAAGCAGAGTGGTATTTTTGCAGTATTATCCAACTCAACAAACAAACAGTTCAGTAGATACACATAATAAAATAGTCCTATAAAACTGTGGTCTTCAACTGTTGACCTCTGAGTGACTCCACAACAGGGACGGTCGAAGCCTCCACTGAGGACACTTGGGTCATGCCACCAGAATTTTTCCTCTTCCATTAGCATTGAGCAATCACAGACATCCATATAGTTTATATTTTTGAAACCGGATATATCCCGATTGTTGGACTACGCATGTTTAAACATACGCAAACCACGGGCCTTCTTTTGTCTGGTGTTCCTAACTGTAACAATTGAAAATGTCTTCTCCTGTCTGCACTTTTGTAGCTTAAAAAGGGCTGACAGCAATGTTACACTTCAATAGAATATCTCATCAACAATTCTCTCCTGAAAATTCAAAAATAAAGCGGCTATTTATGCAACGTCCCCCTTCTTTCATAGGCAACCCATGCTGGTGCTGGTCACTGTGAAGAAATGTCATGACCCTGTTCACGCGAATGATTTTATAAGCCACCTGTCCAAACTTGAACTTTCTTTAGAATAATAAAAACCAAATAAGACATCAACGTAGGGAATGATGGATACATCAGATAAACAATATTTTTCTCTGAGTTCTGGCGATGTTTAGAGTAATGTTTACAGTGTTAGCACACAAGTCCAGAGCATCTCCCACTAATGAAACAATGATCACCACCTGAACCTTTCGTCGAATGCTTTTGGTTTTATAGGCAAATAAAACTCTTCATCGGAAGAGTCTGGAGACGTAAACTATGAAAATATCCATTTATTGTGTTCTCTCATTCTATCAACATCTGTTTTTTAACAGGGAGGGAGATTTGTGAAGGGAAATAAAAAATGAAACTTCACTTTTCTTCTCTTTTCTTTTTTCACTTTCACAATAAAGTCCAAGACAGATGACAGCTGTGGACACACAGGGTGCTCGCTGCATGTTTTATCGCCTTCTCCCATAAATCAAAAAGACGCAGAGTGGAAGAAATACATTCAAAATATACGATTTATGGCACCATGCACCGGAGGGAGTCTGGAGATTTCTTGGACAATATGAAAATAAAAGTGCTATAAAACTGCACGGGCCTTGATTGTGGTCTATGGAGAGACATGGACGGCCTCCAACACAGCTAACTTTATTACTTCATCTGAGAGAGCGAGAGAGACATCAACAGATTCAGAGACCATTATAGTCAAATCTTTTTCCCTAAGTGGCCACAGACTCCATCTAAGGACCCCCAGACCCTTTTCACCCAACATCCAGGGACACAGTGGAGGGCAAACCATTCTCGATTCAGTTCACTCTGCATTTTTTAATGCAACCACCCTTTTTTTTTTACAACTTAATTTCACGGCAGGCATCACAGTTAGAACTATTAAATGGATGGTAGTTTAAAAACTTTAGTGATAAAATTGAAGAATGAATGGTCTTAAGAGTGAAATGTAACCTTATCATGATCGCATGTTGAACAAATAACTAACAGCCATCTTTATATACCACTTCATCACAGCCACTCAAAGCTTTTAAAATCATTGTGATGGAGCCGTCAGAGGGAACAGGGATACATCTTTGAAGTAATTCAAGCAACAGATGAATGAAAACAGTCTGCAGGCCATGCAAAACAGTACTCTGGACTTCAACAGAGATTTAACTGTAAAAGATGTCTCTTCTCTTCCTCATTTTCGCAAAGATGAAAATAGGATATTGAAGGGTGCTGCATCCTTCTTGGCCTGAAATCTGCTTCAGATCTAGAATTTCACAGAGCGTACCAGGGGACCGGCGAAACCAGAGACAACAACAACAAATATGGCCTTGTATTTTTAGGTTGTGATTATAAAGCCTGTTTCACAGTTTAATACTCCAGGGAGACCAAACAAACTCTTTTGTCTAAAGTAACCAGCGTCCAGAATTGGATCAGTTCTCTGCCGTTTCCAAACTTCCTTGAAAAATGAAAGCAGAGGCCACATGAGGGGTCGACAGTGCATGGAGGGACTGCAGTTTACACGGCTTCACACTCACAGATGACATTCGTAATGACATATACTACATCCAATGTCGTCCGTCTATGCAAATTCTTCTATAATAATTCTTGATAAACTGAAAGTAAAGACTGTTAGATTATTTCACAAAGTACTGACTCTTTTTTGTAACAAATACTACCTTTTCCCTTTATTTTACCTCTATTCTAATGTACAACTGCAATAAGGCGTCATTTAAAACATCTTGAAAGCATTTAAACTGACAACAGAAAACTGTATTTATTACTTATTCAAATATGTAAATGTTGAATTGAAATATAAAGCATCCTGAAAAAAATAATGATAGTGCTAGTATTAGTCTTCTCTTCCTATTTAGTACATAAACAATTGATACAAGTCTCAACAATACAATTAAAGTGTAAATATGAAGTCAAATCTTATATTCTTACTCTAAATCTCAAATGAGAAAAATAAATATTTCAGAAGTATCAACATGTTTGGACACTGTAGTGTTTGTAACGACCTATACGCAATACATTTTCACTTGTCATGTTTTTGAAAATGCATTAGACTTTACTTTGATGCCATCTGCTGGCCAAAAAGAGGTACTGAACCTAGTCAACACTTGCAATATTAGACGATATTTTCCTCTTCTTTTATTGACAAAGTCTGTTTAAAAAGAGCATCCACATCTTCTTCAACGAGGGTTTTGTTCCATGTGCAGGAGTTATTGAGAAGGCCTTCTTTGCTAATATTAAAACTCGTGTTTACAATCATGTTTGGCCCAAATTATTCAGAACTGTTCGCATGAAACTTGCTCCAAATATGAACCAAAAGCACAAACTGAACCTAGAGAATTATGTCTCGCAATCCCACATCAATATTGAGAAACAAACTGTTGCATTGAGTCTTTTAAACCATGTAGTAAACTCTGAGCGCCTCAGTGCCAGTCTGTAACATCTAACAGATTGCTCATACTGAAAACCACATAAACAACACGCTCAGTGTAGCCTACAAACCAAGACTTTTGTCTTAAACGGAAAATTCAAGTTTGACTTGAGTTGCTTCATTTGCTTACAAACTTGTTGATTTGACGCACATCCCCTAAAAACATTAATTTCGGTGGTGACAGTTCACTTAAAACACACAAAACTGTATGAACCTAATAGAAAGTTAAGTTTTTCACAACACGTAGCCCCTTTTTGTAGTCAGGAGGAATCAAATATAAATAATAATATCTAAATATAAATAAAAAACATAATTTACCTGTAATTTCATGTTTAGGGTCGAGGGCGTCTTTCAGCAGGGTCGGACAAATGTTTGGTCTTAAATGAAGCCAGCCATGTGTTTAGTGTTTAGTGTGCAGGTTGAAACTAAAACAACCTGTAAGCCTAAAGGACACATTTGGGAAATGCCCTGCCAACTTTCGCCTCCAGGCCGGAAGGCCGCAAACTAGGCTACTCGATATTGGAAATTCGCTGCGTAGGTGGGGCGGTTCACGCATGCGTCATGGTGACTTATCAGGTGGACTAATCAGAACAGATCTTCTTCTTCTGTAAATATTCCGGCAGTTTAGAAGCATAAGTTTATTCGAAGAACAAATCACAGGTGTGAAAAAATAATGTACTCGTGTTCCCAAACACGTTCATTATTGTTAAACAAACAAAATATCAGGCTTTTTTATTATATTGTAGCCTACATAAGTTTAACTATATTTCCAAGATGAATTGCCTAAAATATATAACTTTAAACATAAACATTTAGGCTAATTTGGCACGTTAAGAGAAAAAAAAAACAGTCAAAATTATAATTAGGACTAGTTATTTTTAAAATGTACATAGCCACCCTTGGATTTAAACTCTTGTATGGTGTAACAGAGCAAGGGAATAAAACACCTGCTACAGGCTCAAGATCTAAAAATTGAAACAGATACGCCTACTTTACCAATGAATACTAATGATGGTACTCTGTTAGAGGCCTTGATTTGCTTTAAAGTATAATTTTGAGACCCTTTTTTGTAGTCACATAAATTATGCATACTTTGATATTATAAATCATGTGTTCAACCAAATCATCACTAGTTTAATGATAAAGGAAAAATTGCAGCCCTGTAAAGTGATTGATATTTAGGTGTCTGAACAAATGAAAACCGCCTTGTAGACTGCTGTGCAATATGTGGACACAGGGTGCAGTGTACACTGATGTTAGGTTAGGTTAAATAGATTGAGGCCAAAAGCACATTTTGTCCTGGGTTGTGATGGAGAAATTATGTTTTCTGTCAAAACTTAACAAAATGATCTTAACTGCACATCCATCCCTCTCTTGCAGGGTTGGTTTATTCTACACAACATGGGGATGTTTTTTGGTAAACGCTACTTACAACTCAAAACACACTATTCTGTTTGCAACAACACATCACCTCAAGTGAGGACTCTAATTGTCAGACACCAGTAAGACCAGTACAGTGAGTATGTGACAACAATTGTTTAATTGCAGTGGACTGTCAAGAATATGAGGGAGAAAAAAACTTTTCCTAGACAAATCAAAAGATGTAAAAAAAAAAAATGATGCAGAGAGGAGAGAGCCCTTGCCCTCTGCAGAGATGAAGAGGCTGCATTAAATGTGAATTATGAGGACCAAAATGCTGCACCACTGAATGACAAATTTATTATTATACAGAATATGGTTTAAATTAATGTGCACTATTTAAATATGCTCATCAAGCAAATTAACCATTCAAATGAGAAAAATACACTTGCTTTTGAAAGAATTCATGAAAAGTAAGTATAATGACATTCAGCAGTATAGGCCTATTTTTATTAACTAATCCCTCGCAAACTATGGCGCCTTTAGAATTCCTCTATTCCTCACCATGCAGGGCTTTTCACTTTCTATAAACGTTATTAATTTTGTTTAACTTTGTAAAGGTAAATATCTATAGCACTTAAGTTTCAAGAGAGGCAGAGATTTTTTCAAGTCCAGATTTATTAACTTGTTCTTTTATTTTCAATTTATTTAATTATTATTATTATTATTATTATTTATCTATTTATGTATTATTTTATTATTCTATTTTTTTTTTTAATAGTCTAAAATCAGTCATGGTTTTCCTCTCATAACCATTTTAAAACTCTTCTTCATTTACAGAGACAGGATCTGGCAACACGCCTTCTTTGTAGTTCTTTTCATGAAGTAGCCTACAAGTCCCGACGAGCAAGTCGGCCATTACTATAGCAGCGGGAAGCAAGTTTGTGTTTCCCAATCTGTTCCCAACATGGACAGGCAGAGTCGAGTCTTTGCAGCGACACAGCCGGCTGCAGGACGGGAATATGTCGGTAATGTGAACGAGCAGGGACCTGAGGTGCGAGCAGTTCACCGTCAGAGCCCTGGTAACTATGGTAACCGGGTGAGGGAGGTCCAGGTAACAGGAGCAGCGGAGGTGTGCTGTCCGGCAGACCGGGTGTCTGTGCGGGTCAGTGTGGGCAGCAGCAAAGACTCAGTTAACGAGGTGACCAACAGCGTTTCACGGAGGCTTGAATACATCCTACAAACTGTCAGGTGAACACCAACACACAGCCAGCAGTGTTAACTCTGGACAAGTGACGTAAAAATGTAGTTTTCAGTGTTAAACTTTACGATAGCTGGGTAAGCTAATGCTAGTGTTGTTAAAATTGTATCTAACTTTCATCAATGTGCAATCTTAGAATAGAATAGAATAACTTTATTGTTCCCAAACTGGGAAATTGTGGCGTTACAGCAGCAGGTTATCCAAACACACAATATTAGCAAATCTAAACACTATATAATATTAAATACAAAGTAAATAAGCACTAAAAATATCAAAACTAAGAATGGGAATATATACAACTAGGATTTAACTTTACTAGCATTACTAGTCTAAACTATGAAAGATTAAATGTAAATGTGCAAAAACAGAGTTGTAAATGGACAGAGAGATGTGAAATCAGTGATACTATAAGTTAAAGTGCCTGAGTGTAGACATGTTATCAGCAGAAACTATTAGACAGACAAATGAAGTGAACAAACAGTCGGCAACTCTAATGTGGGTTAATGTGACAAACAATATCTGCTCATCAAGGCAGACAAGTACGTGGTTATAAAACTACCTAAGATAAGTGTAATTAAAGCTTTGTGTAAACATTGATTATGCTTGAATGTATATCATATGAACAAACTTAGGCTAGTTATCTCATCACCGGCATTCCTGAACGATAACTAGAGGAATTATTGAGAACAAATCACTTCTATCTCAATTAAAAACTTTCCAAATACTTTGAGGTAAAAACCTTGCAGTCTTGAATTGAATAAACGTTGCATGAAAACGTTGAATAACCATAGTCACATAAATTCTCAGCGTATTTTTCCATTTCAAAATGTTAAAATGATATTAACTCATGCAGCAAGGCAAGTTTATCTATACAGCACATTTCAACAACAAGGCAATTCAAAGTGCTTCACACAAGACATCAAAAACATCATGACAGAGGAAAAAAGAAACATTAAAATAAAAATAAAAATCACTGGAATTATTACATCTGAACATATGTTCAAATACAAATAATTCAAATGAAATTAATTGAAATAAATAAAGTAAAAATATAAAAAGAGTTAAAAGTTACAGTGCAGAGCTGAAGTTTAAAATCTTATTAAAATTGTTTAATGAAAGGCAGCTGTGAACAGGTGAGTCTTCAACCTCGATTTAAAAGAGCTGAGAGTTTCAGCAGACCTGCAGTTTTCTGGGAGTTTGTTCCAGATATAAGGAGCATAGAAACTGAACGCTGCTTCTCCATGTTTGGTTCTGACTCTGGGGACAGAGAGCAGACCTGTCCCAGAGTATTTCAGAGGTAGTCTTGACTTTACTTTCAATAAACCACATTCAGTACCACATTTCCCTGTGCCGTAAAATTTCCTTAAAATACAAAAAGCCATGTTTAATTAGCTAAAGATTATACCGGTTCACAGTAGCCTACTTATTTTAGTTATTTTCCACCACGTATAGTTGTGTTACCAGGGAGTAGCCTAAAATACAGCTTTGGGTTTAGACTCAACGATCAAAGTTTCATTTCAACTTGTTCTGTAGTTGTTCCTGAAGTAAATCATTTTTCAATCCTTTATTCTTCACAGACAACATGGTGTCAGTGACAAAGACACCTCAGTGAGGAGGTTTCTCCACCGAGAGGCAGACCAGTATAACATGAATGCAGAGGTGGAGTATTTGCACAAGCACTAATGATCCAAATGTGTCATCATGACTATTAAAGATCAATTACCCAACAGCTTTTGTTGTTCATGAAAGATGCATGTAACTGACACAATGTTCCCACAGGTCATGGTCACTTTCTCTAATTTTGAGAACATGGAGCAAGTGTGTAGTGTCCTGCTGGAGAAGCTGGACAAGAGTGTGTGTGTGGGAACGCCACAGTTCTACCACAGTGCTGAGTGCCTGAGCCAAATGAGGTATACATATATACTAATAGCACATTGATATGTGAACCGACTCGTTATTTTAATGAATAGCCGCAATTGCAACTTGCCATTGTTTGTTTGTGCTCTAGGCGGCGAGCATGTGTGGTAGCAGTAGAAAATGCTCAACAGAAGGCCTGTGAAGTCAGTCTGCTCCTTGGGCAAACTCTGGGACCCCCCATACTGATCAGAGAGGAGGAGACGAAGGAGTGGAGGAATGAGGAGGAGGAGGAGGAGGGCAGAGGTCAAAGTGTTGGCTCCCTTCCTCACCTCCCCTGTACACCCACAATCACCGCCTCCTCCCAGGTGTCTGTGTCCTTCAGCCTCAGAGACAGAGGCAGGAAAAAAGTCTGAAGATTGAATTTTTCATTGACTCAAGGAAGACCAACAGACTTTCAACATGTTTTATTGCTTTTTTATGATGGCTGTATAAAGTGCTTTTTTTTACCATAACCGACACAGAGTGGGGGCTATTTAGAGGAAAACCTAAATACATCTTGAATGCAGGTTTTGGCCTTTTAGCATTTTCTTGATCACTCTTAATAAACTCTCGTTTAAAGTTGTCTTTAAAAAATCAAGCCACCCTTAAAATAAAAGGTTTATCCTTTTCAGTCTATTTCTTAGCACATCATATTAAAAATACTGTGTATTTGCATCTTATTTCATACAGTCCCAGATTTACTCCACATCCCAAAAAGACACCCTCAAATTCACATCCAGCAGAGAGACATTTAAGTTGCTCTTGAAGTGCCCAAATATTGACCTTTATGATTTCAAGGTCAATATTTCTACAGGCAACAGGTCCAAGCCGAGCTGTCAGAAGTCCTCTTCTTCATCCTCAGGGAAGATCTCTCTGAGCCACGGCTGCATGACGAACCGCTCACCATCAAAGTGTGTGAAGTATTTCTCCATAGAGGGAATGTCCGGCTGGAAACATCGAAGAGTGAGTCCAAGAATTATGGAATATTTGTGACTGCGTTTTATATCCTGTGATTCTCAGTACATACCCTCATCCCAGTGATGCGCTCCAGTCTTGTTTGAGGCAGGTAACCAACGAACATAGAGGATGATGTAGGCCCGCTGAACAGAACTTTATAATGGGGCGTCTTCTCCGCTTTGTGGCCCTGCACACACACACACTGTCACAGACTGCACTGACCTGACTCACTTTTTTTTTTTTTAAACTTACTATTACTTGAGTATCCATGTGTACTCTGACTTTGTGAGACAGGCATTAATGAAGTTGGTAAAGATATTTTTTAAGAAAAGAGCTTAAAAAAAAAAAAAGCAATAGAGTTGTGGCTGTTAACCTCAGGGTTGGAATACATCCGTTCAATCCACTCAGGAGGGGCTCGCAGCTCAGAGTCCCAGCTCACCACCACCCCAACCATGTTACGATTCCTCTCCATCACCACGTCTCCAACCCGCAGAAAAACATACAGAGGACGAGGTCTGCGCGCTGTCTTTGAGGCTGTAGGGAGGAGGAAACAAAATCTTGAGATAACGTAGTTGTTTTTGCCACATTCACTGCAGTCAACTTATTCATGATATGCATGATCATATGGTTTGTCCAAAGACATTAGGTTTACAGGTATCTTCATACATGAACAGTTACAAATGACTGAACTACAAAACGTGCCACAAACTTGATCGAGGTTCCATGCAAGAGAAATGAGAGTTGAGGTTTTTGCAAGAGTATTCTCTTTTAAAGTTAATGTAGTACATTTTGCACTGTCCATAGAATCAACACTTATTTCATACAAGCTGGTTGGTGACTGTACTGCAGGGGTGGGCATCTTTAGAACCCGAGAGGGCCACATTAATTCTGTTCTCACCGCCAGAGGGCCATATTGTTGGACACTCTAAATTAGACAAACATAATGGCTTATAATAAATGAAAGTAATAAAAAGAAAAAAGCTCTCATTTGAGTCTTATAAATACTAACATTGATAGTATAAAAAATAAAAGCCAATTTAAGCTTCTTTTTCAATGCAATGACCAGTATTCCCGAGTTTTTAAAGTATATTTTACATTTCTGGGTTGTTTTTTTCAAATGCATTCAGTAATGCTTCATAAAAGAGTTATACAAATTATATCTACGTATTTCTTGCAAAGAACTAAACATAGACCAGTAAGTAAAAAAGGATCCATCTCCCTTTGAAAAGTACTCTGAGCTGAAATATAAGTTTATTCTAATATTGTGGCAGTATGTAGGCTTACTGAGCACTAAGGACAACAAAAGCCTCGAACTGATTGATTATTTCTTCTTTCTGACCGAAATCTCTCAAAATATTAAGCACATACAAACCTCCAAAGAATCCCAGTTCATTGTCATCCATCATGCTCTCCATGTCATGCAACATTTTTTCATCATCCTCCTCCTTCAGTCTCAAGCCTAGAAAAGTCCTTCAGAAAGCAGGAAGTATATGTTATTCACTTACAATACCAATGAGTCTCCAGCATGTGTCTGTTGATATAAGACAATAAACCCTTACAAGTCCCTTTTAAATACTCCAGAAATAGTTTTTGATAGAATGGGAAAAGATAGTACAAACTGATATGTCCATATTAACACAAGTCAGATATATTACTCACTTGACTTTAGAAATCTGCTGGTTGGCCCAGTCCATCCATATGGTGCCATTGAGGTAAGATGTTCTCCAATCTTTCCAAATTCTAAGCATCCTGAAACACAACGCTTATTAACTAAATACCATATAACTTCACAATCATTTCATTCCTGAACACATTTCCGCCTCTATTAGAGATCCACACTATTCCTTCTCACAAGAAAGCGGGCACATTTAACGCACAGAAAGCACTTTGAAGCACGGACCGTACCGTGTGGTGGCGTGGAATCGCTGTGCTGTTGAAGAGCCGCTCCACTGGGAGATGAGGTACTGAGCGGGAACCGCGGAGAGCAGCAGGACGAGCTGCAGCACCGCGGCCGACGTCAACTGAGGCATGACTGCGCAGCCGTCACCTGCGGACGGAAGCGCGCGTCAGGTGTATGGGTCAGGTGTCGGGGGGGGGGAAATCATACAAGTCATATGGAGAAACCGCTGACATGACTTGTTGACAACATATGTTATTTTCTTGTTGCTTAAATACACTTTGTAATTTATATTTCACTTACATTTTGTACTCCTGGGAAGAAAAAAAAAAATACGGCACAAGACTATTTTATTTATCTGTATCGTAATTTGATACGACCTCAACCTTTGGGAAGTAAAAGTTTTATAAGCGACATATGGCTCTGCAAAAGCTGTCAGTGTATGAATTTGTCAAAACCTTCTCCTTCTAGTAATAATGACCCTTACCTCGTCTTCAAATCCAGCTCTTCTCTCCGACTATCTGCTAAACATTGCGCCGCAGTGAGTCTGTTTGTGTCGGGTAACCAAAGCAGTGTGACGCGGTTTCACTTCTGTTTTATTTGCATAAAGCACTCGTACATCCATGCCGCCACCACCACCACCTGTGTTATTTACATTTTTCGTAAAGTTTGCCAAACAGGTAGTCTGACCAATCGCAGCAGCCCACGGAGGCCCCGGTCGACCTTTAGCGGCTCGCCACGTCAGGAGGAGAACGAGCCTGTTCACTCCGGGCGCGTGATGTGGTGCGTCACGCAGTTACTCTGAGGAAACGCGAGGTGGGAGAGTTGTTCATGCATTCATTCAACCTGTCTGTAATGTATGCGACAAGCTGCGCGGATTTGACCTCACTTTCTCCATCAAACCTTCTTTACATACATAACACAGCAAACAAATCAGTCAAAAGAAAACACCCTTTTTTTTTATTTAAAGAAGATCCCGCACACCGCAACTGGAATAATAAAAATTTACTTTCAAAACAAATATCTGTGAAAAAGTGATGATCTTAAATTGACACAATCAACAACATTAAGGAAAAGTAGATATGGAAACACAACAGTTTATTCACTTAAAATATTGGTATGAACTAACAGGACAGCAGTACTCCCCTAAAACATACATTCTAGCTTTATGCTTCTTTTTGCTTTAATTCCTTTATATATAAAAGTATCCAAACTAACAAAGACGTCCTCTTTGACTGGTTCACATGAAACAGGCCCCCTTTCCCCTCCCTTCCCCTTCTGTTCTTTGCAATCCCACATCTCCTTACAATTCAAATCATCCCAAAATACTCTCCAGTGGCTCACATGCAGCCACTTCACTCACACTCAACGTCTGACCTGCGATGTCCGGCCAGAGGCCCCCCAGAAGTGACAATGGGTCGTGATTGATTTCTAACATGGTCGAGATAATTGGACAAGCAATAACAAATCAGCTATTTACTTAAACAGGTAGTGTGGATGATCTGATGTAAAAGTGGCGACAGCAGAATAATCAAGTTTGATATCTACTTCGATATGATCGCTGCATTCTCACTTTAAGTTTATTTCAACAGGAAATCTGAGTTCACATAAATCTGAACCCATCCCTTTAACTCTGGATACAATTGTTGCGATGCAGCAGGCCATGGTCAAGGTTAGCCAATCATTTTTCCTGATTCAAATTTGGTTAATCGACACTAAAATCTATCCAAACATTTATGGCTCTTTATTATTCTGCTGTACGCTCAATCAGTTTAAAAAGTCAGATCATACCTTTTGATTTAAAAATCCCGGGGTCTAAAATGTGTACTCATGATAATCTGTCAACCAATGTAATAATGATTACTTGTAATGTAACTTTATGTGGATAGGAAGAGTTTTTCTTGGCTCACAAAATTCATTGTCTTGTGTGCAAAGGTCGGCTTTCTATCTCTAATAGAGCCCCCTCAATAGGATATTGTTCCCATCAACAGTCATTCATAGTGGAAGGTGTCATTTTTTTTAGGCTTTCTTAATTTGGAATAAATCTCTTCATATACACAATATAAACAAACCTTTCCATGAAGTAAATATAAGCCCGACTGACTTTGAAAAAAAGCTGTTAATTGTATTCTAACTCCACTAATGATGTGAATAAAATAGTTGTCCTGTATGGCAGAAACAGACGGAAAAAGAAGTTTACACATAAAATGAAAGCGAGCTCAACACCCTCAGTGTGTTTAAAAACTGCTTCTGAAAATAAACACATTCAATCGCATGGTCTAAAACCTCAGTGCCCAACACGAAAATTTGGCATTGACATATCCATGACAAAAAAGGAAAACCAAAGGTAAACATTTGAGATAGATAAATATTCAACAATATGTGATATAAAGAGCTTTGAAAGAACCCAGGTGATGCTACTGTCCAGTTCTGTCCAGTGAAACCCACAACACACGTGGCTGATTTTGGCATTCAGTTGCTCTGTGCTGGGTGAAAACAGATAGATCTTAAAACAAGTGGGGGCGGCCATCTTTCAAAACTCAGCCCATTAGATGCGTGAGAGGACAAACAGAGAGAGAGAGAGGATGACGTGGTATTTCTGTCTCTAGACAGATTTTTATCTTTCAGTAGCCCTCCGTACAATCCTGTCTTGTCAAGTACAGTTCCAAAGTCCAGTCCTCTGAACCCAGCAACCAGTGGAACCAGGAAGTCCAACAAAGACTAAAAGAAAACCGAAGAAAGGCCCCAAAAGCAGACAACAGAGGATTCAATATGCCAGAGTAGCAAAGGCACACAATCAGAAAGATGAATGTAAGACTTTTCTTT